ACTTGTTCCGCGAACAATATCGCATAAAAATATCGATACACAACAGCGAACAACAAAATCAACATTTTCACCTCCGAGCTATCGTTGGAGCTATCGACGTCATTTTCGCATCGTTCGTAACTTCTCGCGCGTCACAGAACCGATATTCGCGACGAAACGGCGCAAATTAGGCAGAGAGTATAGTCGCGAAAAATTACCATACAAATGGCGTCAACTACCCATCGAAACTCGTTGGCCACGCGGTGTATCTATCGTCGCGCGATATTGCCATCGCGCATCGCAGAAGTTTGATCCACTTTGGTCGCGATGCTCGTCGCGAAAGCATTACTTTTCTCCAGATGAGAAGGAGAAAGGTGGTGCAAATATGTGGCGTTTACGAGTCGTCTTCGTTTCGAACGTTCCGAGCGTTCCTCGAATACATATTGCCTGCTGGCGGTAGCAGCGCAATTAACATCACTCGAGACTCAAACCCTCTACCGAACCAGGTCGAGGGAGGTAAAGACGACGGGGGAGGATCGGGAGAGAGAGTAATAGTTTTCCCAGTCAGCCGTTTCTCCGTCCTTCATCCTTTCATGGTGTTTCTCCCTGTGTCCTGTTTTTCGACGGTCGTCTTACTCCATCTCATATATATTTATCTCTATCCATCTTGGCGAAGTTGGTCTACATATTTTGTTGAAAGCGGTTAAAATGAGCAATCTCTCTCTTCTTGCTCTTAAAATTTAGACAATAAAAAACCGGTAATTGAATTTTAATTATTTTAGTTTTCGGAAAATCTAACGGTGCGTTTGCAAGATGAAATATATTAATAAAAGAAGGTTAATACTTAAGGGAACATGAATACTAGAAATGTGATTGTGCTGTTAACATTTGTAGCTGACGACTTTGAACAGCAAAAAAACTGTCTGAATAGCATTTTTCTCTTACATTTTTAGTCGTATTTTCTTGTGATTCAGACTCTCTCTTGTTGCGCTACCGTAATATGCCTACTTTTACCCACACCGTTCCTTTTGACACTCATAAACTTGCCTTACTATCATCGTGTAGTTGTCTTGCCGACTCTTGCTGTTTTTCTCTTGCTTTTTTTCAGTCTTCCTTCTTGCTTACTCCAAGTCGTATCTTCTCATTTATTTTCTCCTGAGTCCTATCTCCCTTTTCTCCCAGTATTCTCCATTCTCTTGCTTTGCATCCCTTAGATCGTAACTTCTCTTTCATTCTCCTCCATGGGTCTTTTTTTCTTTCTCTTTCTCTCGGTTCACCCCATGTATCGTAGCTCTTCATTCACCCCTCGTCGCTTTTTCTCTCTTTTGCTCTTTCGCTTCAACCTCCTGTTCGCCGCAATCCACTCTCTTTCCTCTCGATGGTCGTCATGGTAACCGCTTCCGTCTCTGTCTACGTTTCCATCTTCGTCTGTCGCGACCACTCCATCTTCATGTCCATCCGTTCCGAAAACATTGACTTTACCATGGCGGTTGTCGCATGATCGGTGATCCTTGATGACTAAGGATCTGCGAAAATGCTGTCACATGGTTTACTAAGACCGAGGAAAAATTTTCGAGGAAAAAAATGCGAAAAAAATCGTCAGGTAAAAGTATTTATAGTAACGACTTGTAGCACAGATTTACATTTATATTACAAAAAACATGAAAATACAATGCGAAAATCAAGAATGTGAAAGCATTCGCCCAGAGAAAGATTTCTTCGATTCAAAGAAATGTTTCTTTACTCTACAGTTAAATTAAAGAAAAAAATTTCTTTGATTTGAACATAATTTCTTTAAATCAAATAAATTTTTTTATTGGGTGTTGAAACTATTTCTTTCGCTTCTCATGAAATTTATAAGGAAAGATTCCTTCAATTAATACGATATATTTAATATTTATAAGAGAGGTTATATATTAAAAGATTAATTCAAATCGTAATATAAAATCATCAATCAGATTTATTTTTACTTCTCTACGCAAATGCGACAAATAGACGTGGGAGCTTTCATTTTCGAGATGTGTAAATATAACGCAAAGTTATATAATAATTACCAACCATTGCCTCGGGAAAGAGAAAGACAATGCCGAGTAATTTTGTATGAGTCTCTGTGGAGAATGAGAGTCGCTGCGACAACAACGATAGGAGATATTCTCGATAGAACTTTGATCCTTATCATGCAACTTTGATGTAGACAATCGCGCTTTGAAATGCCTCGTTAGCCGTCCCGTATATCGATGTCGCGAGTTAAGGTACTTGTAGTGACGGTTTGCCGGGATCTTTCTCACATAATACCTGAGTCTCGGATAAACTGCATCGTAGAATAGCAGATATCTCAAAACTAAATTTCTCAACGAGCTCACAGTAAGCTTACCACATTTAACAGCCACTTATTTCGTGTTCGCATCCACACGTAGTCGCACGTACGATGTTATCATATTCACATGAAAATATAGAATTATAAACGTCCGTGCAAACAGAGTAACCGTACTCGAAAACTTTAATTGAACGCTCTTCAAACTCAACTCGCGACAATTCTGTAGTATCTAATGTGGAGAAGTTTAAGCCGTTTATATTCTTGCTGGAGAAGATCGACCGCGAGTTTATTAAGGAAGACGATCTCCCTGGGTTCTGTGTTCAGCTATTCTCAAAGCGATGTAAGGCGATTTTTCATCGAAACCTGACTTTTCTTCGTTTCTCATTATGATTCCGCCGTGCAAACCGCCGTTCTCACTTTGTCATTGTCTAATAAAGCTTTTTGCTTTCTTGGCAGATTCACGACGGCGTCGTGGTCTTAAGTAAACTTGACCCGAACCGTCCGTTAATGGATTCGGGAACACTCCCGGGTCCATTCGAGTATGCAAAGCGACGAGAGCGAGAAGAGAGGGCGGGAAGGGAGTAAACAGAACCATTCTGGCGATAGCGAAACCATTGGTCGACTTTAAACGATCAGATACACTTTGGTTAATGAGATTATTTGACGCCATCGGAGTCACCGCGTTCTCTCTTCTCAGCAAACTCCGGGAAAAGTTTCGCTCCATCGGAAATTTTCACGATACACTTTCGACCACGAACAATAAAGGGACAATCACCAACAGGACTAGAATTTCCACTTCATTTTATAACAATCGATGTACATTCCGACGTCGACAATGCTATAATCAAATATCAGATTATTAATATAATATACTGTGCTCACGCGCGCGATTGATATACTTAGAGATAAACAGTAGTATACAAGCTTTTTATGTAGAATTAATGTACATATAGTGTGTTGTATAAACTATTTTGTTATAGTTGCAATATCTATAAAATAATTTAATCAGCTATGTATTGCACATTAATTTCTAAGGTAACTGGATTCTAGATGGTTTACCTTATATGACCTGTTTGGTGTAATTACACAGTGAATTTAACAGATAGCATTAGTAAGTCATGTACAGGCTGTCCATCTGACTCGATTGCATCAGTTTATTGCTCAAATAGTTCATTCTGTTATTGTCAGTAAAGCAAAATGCAGAACGTCATGGTCGTGATGTAACATTTCATAGATAAGTAATTGCTTTCTACAATTATCAAGAGATAATTATTAGTTTTTGTGGTTTATATTATTTTATTGTAGCTCTATACTTCTACTTTTCATTACTATAGTTAGTTTATATTTTCATCACGTTTTGTTTTATAACTAGAAAAAGGAAACTCTTTGTGAGATAGAATCAATATATTGGCCAACCCCCTAGGCATATTGAGTATAGTAATCGATTGTAACGTTTTTTTTTTTTATACTTTTGTTATTTCCATCGATTCTAATTCACCTGTTAAATATCATGAAGATAAATAAATAAGTAGATAAGTCAATTATTTGGAAAATAGTTCTGTATGTACATGTCAATAAATATATCAATTAATATGTTAATAAATTTATCATTTTATAAAATTATAAAATAAATAATATAAAATAACATAACAATCATTTTGAATCATTTTATTTTCCATTTTTCTAATATTTTTATGAAAAAAGGAAGGTTATACATTAGATATATATACCTAATATGATCTAAATGTTATTTTTTCTTAAAATCTTCACTACACTCGTGTAAATATTTGAAAATGTGTATTTTTTTAATGTGCAGAAATATTTCCTTTTTTTAATCTGAATCTCCATCAGTTTTCAATTTCGGAGTCGGCAAAAAATTGGAAAAAAATCACAAAGCATATAAGATCTGGTTACCTTAAATATAAACCTTATACAGTTGTCTTCATAATTGCTGCTACTCTTTTTTTCTGAGTGTACATAGACAAAAGCCGTCGACAAGAAAACGAAATAATTATCCTTCAACTATTATCACATCCGACAAGAATTTATGGGTTTCTCGAAAGTCGCCAAATATATATCTCGATTGTGATAGCTGGGCGGAAGAACACGAATCACGTATTAATTGGTAAAATTAAAGGAAACTTTGCCGCTATAACGAGGTTGCCTGCGTCGGTGGTGCCGACTATTTATCAATTTTAATTAAGCCGTTCTTACGTAACTGATTTCGCGTTTTCCTGCGCGCGGACTACTCTGCGCGAAGCCAGTATTATTCTTAAGTATTCCGGCTCTCCACGTCGGAACGTTAACTACAGCTTGCCAGTTAATTCTTTCCGTAGTGAGCGAAGCACTTCTTTTGACTTTGCGCCACTACTAGTATTACTGCCATTAGTAGCGCTTACACCGCAGTATCGTTAATTGCATTTTCAATGAGAATATCTCTGTTGCACCACAACGAACAGTATAAATAAAAATTATGTAACGGCTCGACATAGTTTTTATTCAGAGGCATTTTATGACGATCCAGATCTTCCACAACAATCGATTTATATTGTCTCCTGGATATTTCTAGCTTAATCTTATGATATTTTGTTGACAAAAAGATTTTAATGCTGTACGAAAAATAAATTCGATTGCAAAATAGAATTTCGCGTTATATATTCTATCCAGTGAGCAGCTTTTCTAATTTTATTATTTCTTCTTTCAGTATTATTTCCAGTAACGTTCTATGGAGATTAAAGAACCAAAGGAACATGAGATCAGTTATCAAGATGGAAACTCTGCAAGTATGTGAACAATTTATCTCTGCATAAAAATTCATTAAAGAAGCTGTATGTCATGCCGACAATTTACGAAGATTCCCTTAAGGCTGCGTTCAGAAACTTCACTCGAGTGCATCATATATTATTTATCCTTATTGTTCACGAATGTTAAATAAAGATAAAATAATACATGAGTGCACTCGTAAAGTTCTGAGTTTCTGAACATAGCCTGATTTTACATGTTTTGAACTTCACATTGAAAGAAAGGTGTTTGGTACTTATAATTATAATTGCATAATAAAATAATCTATCCATAATTATTTAGGAGCTCTATTTTTATAATTATTATGTGAGTAATAATAATTACAGCAGAATGATTATAATTGTTTTCGATCATTATACATTTATATATATATAAAATTATAAATATAACTATTATTGTTAACATTATAGCAATAATAACTGTAAAAATTCTTAATCATAATTATTCTTCCAATTGCAATTATCACAAATACTAAACACTTCTCAGTGCATATTTATTCGGTCGTACGTAACTTTTGAGTCAGCAGAGTTCACACGATGTTTTACGTGTCCTGTGGCTAATTTACATACTCGGGCCGGGCGATCCTGGATCGAGCTAATATCCGGACGGTAAGTCGGCGCATTAATTGCATTAATTCTTGAAAGTAGCTGGCGCGACCTGGCCATGTCGATCCGATCGGCGATGGCCGATGGTTGCATATATCGTGATAACGCAGGCAGATCGCCGTCGACTCGATGAACAAAGACAGGGTCAAGCCGACATGGGAGTGGAACGTCTGGTCGTAGCAGTGCATTTACATTTGTAATCGCATCGTCGGGTCGTACTGTCTAATCCGCTCGCGCGGCTTACAAGAGTCCGATCGAGCTGAGTGCTGATCGAATGAAGCAAACGCGGACCATTTATTAACTAAAGAGCGCAATAACGAAACCATTCTTCAAATTCGAAGTGCTTCTTAAAACATTAAAAAATTCTTAAAGCATTAAATTTCGCTTTTTTAGTTACAGTTATTGAAGATTAATTTAAATACTTAAAGACTTTATTTTTAATCTTATAATCTCATAATCGGGAAAGAATATTTTTAATATTAATTTTATATTCTTTTTTTATAACTTGATATTAATTTTATTTAATTCTTTTCCCATTTCGATAAAATATTCCTGAAAAGAACTCAGTTCATTAAAATCCTTAATCTATATACACAATAATTCTATATACAAAAGCTTTCTGCAGCATTGCTGCATGCTTACGTTATAGTATCCGGGATTAAGAACACGAGGAAATCGGCATTGCATCCTGGTGCTTTTGCTTTTTATATCTCCCAGAGTAAACAGGATGAATCCATGCGGTAAAGTGAAGAAAAAAACAGAGCAAGCAAAGTGAGCCAATTAAAATTGCGGCTCATCGTATAGCGCCAAGTTTTATCATCGCAAGCGAAACGTATAAATGTTTATTTTTTTGATGTAATTAAATTATGCTAAAAATGCGAATGAAACAACGCCTCTATTGCATTGTAAATCTCGTGTGTAATATACATACATTTCCGTAATTGAACGCTACCAATTAAATATCAGCTACTATTCATACTTAAACGTGAATTATTGTTATTGAATTCTGTCTTTTTTCTTACGTTTTTTTGTATGCGAACTATTTTTTACAATACTTCCTTGTTAACAGAAAATCAATAACTCTTACAAAACGACCTGTCGTGAAATGAATGATACAATTGGGATTTGTAGTTCGACATTTTTATAATTTGTTAGTAACTGCCCGTGCGCACAAAGAGGCAAGGAATTCGTTTCGTCCGTACGACAAACGCGTTTCCCCATTTCGAAACTTTTAAAACAACACAAGTTGAAGTATGTGCAGGAAATATTCCATAAACTTCTCTAAAACGATAAACTGAAATATATCATCGAACAAATAAATAAATAAATAAATGTAATGATAAGATTACTGCCACTTTATTAAATATTTAAAAATATATATTTGTTTTATGTTTAATTAAACGTATTTTTTTATCTTTATCTTTTATTTAAAATAATAACAAAAGTTATTTTTTATGAAAATAATATAAAAATTAATGTATTTTTTTTTTCAAAGAAAAAATATCTATAAAAATTTTACGAATTATTAAATTTAGATTAAATATTACAAGTTTGGATTAAATATTACATGTTTGAATTAAACAGTACAAGGTATACAACAATACAAAGTTTCCGATTTCCGATTATATTAATTCGAAAATTTATTAGTTTTTATAGTATAGACAAAAATTTTATAGGCATATATTTAACTTTGTATCTTTATTTCTTTCCGAATATTTTATACATAAAGCTGATTGACCATGAAAAGTTTACGATTTATTCTTTCTCATAGAATTCTTTTCATTCCTGACGGTTATTACAAAATATCTAGCTAGGATTAAAAAGATAAATATTAAGAACGCGCAGGAAGATAAGCTCGTCGTTTCCCATGCATTTATAAAACACTTCCGGCCGGATTATAATTTCAAATAAGTCTTGTAAGACGGAAAAAGACTTAGAAGGAGCACCTCGTTTCATTTTAAAAGAAGAAATCGCTACTCCACATTAAGGATCTTTTCGTATGTCCATAGGAAGAAAGAATACGGTCGTGACATAATATCGCATTCGAATACAATAGACGGCTTATTAGCATTTCGTACCTTTACAAGACCCCTGTCACCTTTGACCCTTTCGAGCAAACGGCTTCCACATATGCAGATACATGACGCTTCAAAAAGTATCGCCTCTCATGTTTTTCTCCGAAACTTAGCTTTAGAAATCGTTCCTTCTTTTCTTCTCGATGAGAAGTTCAATTGAATAATTCTTGAAAGGGCCAAACTCAGCCAAAAGTTTCTATACAGGTTATTCTAATATTCATCATACATTCTTTTTAACATTCTTTTAATAAGGTTTTTTTTAGTCATTATTACAGATTAAATCTTTTCTCTGAAAAAATTTTTTGAAACGTGTCTCGCACACGTGCGCGTAACAACTTTCTTCAATCTTTTTAAATTATACATTTCTATGTAATCAAGCATTAAAGGAAATTTCTTAAAGCAAAGTTTACTTAAAGTCAACAGAGAAAGTCAAATATCAGATCCGAAGTTTGAAATACCTCCACTGTTATATTTCTGCGGAATATCTCTTAATAGTTATGCATCTTTGTGCTTAATCTTCTCTTCAATTATCTCTCTCGTTATAACTAAGGTCTGTGGGATTTTAATCAGAACGCAAATTAACCGAATAACCGGGAAGGAACACAAAAACAACAGTAGGTGAGATTTATAGATTTTAATAAAAAAAAAAGTCCAACTTGACAGTAATTATACAAAAAAGACAATTTTTGCTGAAATATCTACAAATTTAACTAAATACAGATTTAAAAATAATTTTTTATTTTTTATTTTATTTTTATTTTATTTTCATATTTTTATATCTAGCTAGATTTTTAGGTACTTTAGAAAAATCGTTTTTTTTTTTTTTTTTCGTATAAAACAAGAAAAGCGCCGGATAACTATCCTTCCTGTCCGCTATTTTTCGTCCGCCAAGAGCAGAGTAGAAAAAAAAGCTACAACCTCAGGAAGGTGATACAGGCATGTGTACATACGTCAAGAAAGAAAAATCTTTTTATTTCTTCTCCTTTCCTCATTCAAGAGAGAATGAATGAAGAATGGGAACGCATCCTGGAAGTGTGTCCGCATCACTAGCATCTAAGTGAATCCGAGAAGAGAGAGCCACAGCCTGCGACATTCTTGTCCCTTTTTTTTAACGGTGGAAAAGAACCGCTAGAAAAAGCGCCTTGAAACCGGTCCAGGTGGAAGAATGTATGTACGCGCGCTTTCGTAAATCGGTGAACACCTGGTCGTCTGCTCGTCGTCATCTCTGCGCGGCGTCCACCGCGCCGAGATTTAATGGAATTGAAGATTACCGCGGCAAGTTCTTCTTGCCATTGTTGCAAGCAACGTCGTTAGCGCCGTTTTCGGCGCGTTACCGGGGCAGCCATCTTTATGAGTTTTTTTTTCAGTCTTCTCTGAATTTCAACTCGCGAAATGATCGTTATCCTTTCCCTGCCTATTCTTGTACTTTAATAGGATTCCGCTTATTTTTTTTAGTTTCGCTGAAGCAAAATATCATTGTTCGTTATTAAGAATTAATCAAAGCTCAATTAGAGAGTAACAATAATATAGAAATATTTTTTGTAACAACTTTCTTCAGTCTTTTAAAATTATACATTTCTATGTAAAGATAATTACTTTAAAGATAATTACAACAAAGTTTTTGTCATTTAAAATCGTTAATAATAATAAAATCATTTATCCAATAAATCTAATTAAAAGTGACGGTATAATATAATTCAGAAATATTGCTAGTACGGATTGATGTATCCTGCCAAACTATATTTCACGTCAGACATTAATTCTTCGTTTACATTAATTTTCGTTATATTTCACGTAAATAAAAATTTAATGAAATTTCAACATGGATCGCTAGAATTGGCATCAAACGCACTATCTGAAGTAGAGATCGAAATAATCATGCAATATTCTATGCAAATCACGGGTTGACGACTTATCGGTAAGATTCACCATTTCCCAATTTGTACCCTGCAGAACCAATAGAATGACAAAGGACCATCAAGAGAGGACTCTCTTCCAGATAAATCGATTCCTCCCACCTTCTATCCATTCAGCAGTGGCTCGTTTCCACCTTGTACCGGAGGTCGTCGTCGTCATCGTCGGTTGCCTTTTCTCCCGCTCTTGCACCGAGACAAATTAACGCCCCGATTATTCTTCTTTTGCCTACCTATGTCGACAACAACCTGCATCACGCCAAAACCAGCACCACTCGCCCTTCACCAAAGGCTCCGGTAATTAGCATAATTCGCGATAAAGAAAAAAAAGCATGCCCGCGGAACGTTGAGAGGCGGTGAGAATTGCAGAGAGATTGCAGGGAGGCAG